TCGAGATATCTGAGGTTCGATTCCTCGGGCAGCGGAATTGTCGTCTTTTCTTTTCTTTTAATTTACTTTTGATTTGTATATAACTTTAAGAGTATTTTAATTTTTAGATTTTATTGTCTTAAAAGAAATATGATTTTTTAATTTCCTTTAATTTTTAGAAACGTTTTATGCATTTTTTTTATTTAATTTGGTTTCTTTTTTAGCTTAATTTTTTCTAATTGTTAACTTTTCTTGTTTAAAAAAGAAAAAAAAATTTATTTTACATTTAGTTTTTAGGAACTTATTTATTTTTTCTACTTATTTCTTTTAATTCTTATATTCTAATGTTTTAAGAAGAAGAATATACATATGTATATCTTTTAAAAAAAAAAATAAATAAATATAAAATTCTCTTTTAATTTTTAGATTTTTTGTGTTAAAGAAATATTGCTTTATATCAATTAATTTTTAGGAGCTTTTCCATAACATTTTTCTCATTTACTGTTTTTTTCAGACTTTATAAGTTTAAAAAAAAAAACATACATATATGTATTTATGTACATACCTATATATATTTTTTTTAAATTTCGTATAAATTTACGAACTAAAATGTTTTATTTTCAATTAAATTTTCTCTAACTTTTTAAATTTGTTTTAGAAGGAAAATTATTTTTTGTTGGTTCAAGTCTTAGTGAACTCGATGAAGAAGTCTGATGACGAGATGTGGTGATCTCCGTAGTAGCAACTATAACTCTACTCTGTGTAAATTATTGTGGTTTTTCCACAAAGTTTTTCATTGGAAACGGCCTCAAGCTCAATAATATTGTTGAAGTTATATTAACATTATTTATAACCAGGAATTGCTTCGCGACGGCTGATAAGAACTTTTGCGTTGACTAATGCAAAAATAGTGTTGAAAAGATAAAACGGTTTGTAAAGTAAAAATTATTAGTTTAGGTTGAACCGACTGAAGGGCAGAACCTTCCGTACTCATAGGCCATATGTATATGTAGTAATCTCTTTCGATGCTATGAGATTTTATTTCCACCTGTGAGAAAGAAATTGCAAGGTTTGCCAAGCGTGCATAACCTTCTTCTTAAATCTTGCTGTTCCACAGGACGAAAGAGTTTTCGCGTTCAAACGGGCTCATTGATATTCTTACCGTGTTCTTCCTAATTCATCTAACCTTTTCTTGATACACCCCATAACCCGTTGATGTGCCTAGGACATCTGGGCGCTTCTTTGTTTGGATACTTAACCCCATCCTTCATTAAGTCATTAAAAAAGTAAATTCGTAGTGGGTATCTAAAGGCCTGGATTCCAGCGCCATCTATGTTTTGGGGAAATTTTTTGCAGACGCAGTACTGTCCGTTTAATACCCGTTAATCCAGGTCGTACCATAAAGAGGGATTCTCTAAATATCTCAACTCTAGCGCCATCTGTCGTAAACTCATTTCTATGCACTTACCATAGATTTTCACACCTAATTTCCAAGTAATGTGACTTACGGTTAAAAAGTTATAGCTGATTAAAAATTTCACGCCTATGGAATGTGCCACGCCCCGCTGTCAGAGCGCATTTGTTATACCCTATATTATGTCCGAGGTTAATGTCTAGCCACCAGTCAAAGCCCCATGAAAATCCATTCACTAGTTTCGGAGATTAGTGAGTTCAAACAGACCGACACGACATTTTGAAGTGAAACTTCTTTAGCGGCGGTTGGTTGGTTGGGAGTAAATTGGCAAATTCAACGGAAATTGCACACGGAAATGGTGTAACGGAAATGGTTGGGATGGAAGCAAGTGCTTCTTGAATGTACATATGTTACTAATTTAACAAAAACTTGCTAATAAAAGGTAAAAGAATAACGCTTAGAAAAAGACCAATACAAGAATGAAAGTAAAGGAGAGTACGTACATACATAGATAAAGAAAAGGATAAAGGCAAAGGTAAAAATAAAGACAAAAACAAAGATGCCTAAAGATAAAGGCAAAAATGAAGACCAAGGTAAATTTAAACACTTTGCTTATATATATAAGGGCAAAGGTGAAGGGGAATATGTAGATTAAAAAAATGTTAAACATAAAAGAAAAGACAAAGAGGAGGATGAGGATACCGATAAAAGTAAAGATGAAGATAGAGGAAGAAAGATTAAAATAAAGGTAATTATAGAGACTCAATCTGGGAACTATTTTGGAATTTTAGAGATTTTCGGGATTCTTGGGACTTATCGATATAATAATCGATATTTTTATCGGTTTTGTTATCGATATTGTTATCGACTTTGTTATCGATTATTTATCGACTTTGTTATCGATTATTTATCGATTTTGTTATCGATATTTTTATTGATTTTCTAATAGATTTTTGTTATCGATTATTAATCGATTTTGTTTTCGATATTTTTATCGATTTTGTTATTGATATTTTATTCGATTTTCTAATCGATTTTGCTATTAATGTTATTATCGATTTCACTATCGAAATCTTTATCGAGTTTTTCATCGATTTTGCTATCGAGTTTGTCATCAGATAGATTTTTGTTATCGATTATTTGTCGATTTGGTTATCGATACTTTTATCGACTTTGTCATCGATATTTTTACCGATATTTTTATCGATTTTCTAATCGATGCTTTTATCGATTTTGTTATCGATTCTTTATCGATTTTGTTATCGATATTTTTACCGATTTTGTTGTTGGTATTTTTATCGATTTTGTTATCGATATTTTGTTATCGATATTCGAATATCTATGTAGAAAAAAGACAAAAAATATAACTTTAAGCAAAAGCAGATGTATGCACTATGTATGTACATACATATGTATGTATGTATATTGGTTATGAGGCAAAATAGATATGTAACGTAAGTTTCACTTCTACATTGTGGCCCAGGCGCACTTATTTTTTTTATTATAGTATAGATAGATTGCGAATTTTTGGGTTTTTCGAGTTATACAGCTTTTCTAAAGAGCTAAATTTCTAAATTTTGGTCGTGAATGGGTTAATCTAGGTTAGCTCCTTTACGCTATTATTAAAGTTTTTCTTTTAAATAGTGTGGTTTTGAAGCCCTATTAAATTTCGCACAGAAAATGTGTCATGATGAAAACGTTATTTTGTCACCCACTGTACATGTTTTAAATGAACTAATGTCGTTGTTCTTTAGCGGCGTCAGTAAGAAATAAACAAGTTCAAAAATATGACGCTTCCAATGTATGCATTAGGGATGTTTCGAATGTCATATTTTTTACATTCGCGAATGCTAATGCGAATGCGAATGCAAATTTTCGGAATACGAATGTGCGAATGCGAATGGGAATGCGAATGTTAGGAATAACATTAAAAAAGCTATAATCAACTTAAGTCATCGTTTTTATTACTTAAAAAATTTGAAAATTATTAGATCATTGAACGAGTGCTTAACCTATACATACGGTGACCATCCGTCCTGTATTATACGGGACAGTCCTCTTTTTTCGTCCTTAGTCCAGGTAATTTATTTATTTCATACGGGACGCCAAATGTTCTGTATTTCTTCTAATGTCCGGTATTTTTCCCGTGCTCGGTATTTTGGCGCCTTTGCGTTAATATTACATGTCTATGAACTAGTTTTTATTTTTATGTCTAGACGCTTGCGATTCGAATCATGGAGCACATACATATGTAGGTGGTTTCTGAAGTTATAATTTTGCAGGAAAAAAATGGTATTTGTGAGTAAGAATCGAAAATAGACGTTCAAATACTCTAGCTTTTGTGGGAAAAATTAGCAAAGTTAATCTTAGTCCCGCATTCGGCTGCCATAATTATGGTCACTGTACCTATACAGTGTTTTAATCTAGTAGTCAAAGTTCAAAATGGGCATATTATAGTTCAAAAAAAGTAATTTCGGTGCCTTTTCTCCCATGAGGCCATTTCTTATAGGCTGCACTGAACAATTGCTCACTTGGAACGCAGGTAGGTGGAGCGCTCAAATATTTCCGGGCCAGATCTGTCAATTTGTCATATTTTAGTTTAGTTTTCTACCAATCGAGAAGATTTTCACCGAAATGAGCTAGTTTTTCTTTAAGATATGCCTTCAATTGAGCTTTAATTTCACATATTTTTAATGTCTCCAGATTTTACATCCGAGCCTCCGCTTTCGCTGGAGGAATCTAAAATTATTTCTAGGTTGCTTAGAAGACTTTTAGCAGTACTGGTTGAAGGCCCATCAGTGTTGCTTGATATACTACTTAACCGTTTAGCGCCTGAAGCTAAAAGCCGGTTATTGTCCGCATCCTGGTTAGACAGACTTAGAGCCATTTCAACAATACTGAGTGGATTCTCGCCCATGTACTCATTCGCATTCGCAAAACGTTCGTATCCTTTGATGCGAATGCGAATGTCGAATGCGAATGTGTAAAATGATGCGAATCATTCGCATATCGAATGCGAATGCAAATATTCGCAACATCCCTGGCATGTATAAATGTATAATTGGTTGAGTTTACACTCGCTAAAAGTATACAATTTAAATAAGTTAACACCTGCATTACTTTAGCAACAAAACGAACAGCACTGCGGCGCATACATACATTACTTAAGTAGTATTAGCATTTTTTGCAATTATTTTTCTATTAGCTGCTTTCCGACTTTATTTGTTTGAGATAAGACTCTTCGCTTAACAGTTTGATGTAGTCGTAACCAAAAATTTCCACCGTATTTTAAATAGTTAAGCCAGCTGGTTAAATTTAGCTCGAACGGTTTTAGTTAAGTTTCTTTATTTTTACGTTTTAGGTACTAATCGCAAAGCAATTTATAGACTTTATCTTTCATTATCAATTGTATGGGTTGGTGGAGAAACTTGGGGAATGTTTTTTTTTGTTCGACTTCTCATTTTACATAAGTAATGTATGTATTCCACAAGTACGTAAATAATGTGACTCAAGGTCAGTTTAATACATAGTAACTAGCCGTTTTTAATTGCATTACTTTCGCATAATCTTTATCCTTAAAAGTAGGAAATTGTAGTTAATATCTTACTTTATTTTATTGGCTTTGCTTTTTCCTGCTGCTTAGTAGCCATACGTGAGTACGCCACCTTTTTGTGTATTTCTGCTTTCGTGGATTCGCCACTTTTTCCACAAAATCTCAGGCGTCCAAAAAAATTTTCTCCTTCTCGCACTAATTTTTTAATTACACTTTTCTTTACCAAAAAATCTAGCAGCTGTTTTGATTGCACGCAATTTGGATATGCAATTCACTTTTCCATTTCCATTTAATTATTATTTTCTTTTTTTTCGCTAAATATTTTCTATGATTTACACGCGGAAGTAACGCGAAATTCTTTTGCTTTCTTTCTTCTCCTCACTATTTGTCGTAAAATATACACTTTGGCATTCACTTTCGCCACCACTGTACGGAACGTCACGCTACGCGCTTTGCTGCGTAAACGCAAGCGTATTTTCCCACATGCTTATTTTATATGCCGTACACAGACAATTTGTGATTCGTACTGCCTCCAACGGCCGACCCTCTATACAGCTAGGTCGAGGAGCTGCGGTACAGCACTGTTAGGCGCGGTCCGTCCGTCCGTCCAATCTCGTTTGTTTGCGTTTATAGTTTCTCCACCTTGTTGTTGTTGTTGTTGTTGTATTTTGAGCAAGCGCGTTGCGACGTTATTCCTACGCTCGCGACTGTAGTATTTCGACTATTTTATTATTAACAATTTTTGTATTTTATATTTAAGGCAGAGTAAGCAGACAAATACTCTTAACACACTCGATCGATCGCGTCGAGTAGCGCCATTGGTGAGCACTAAAGAGTCAAGAGCGGATACTCGAAGATTACTTGGTTGCTTGTGCTGGTGCCGCACCACCGGTTTGACTTCTGTATGGGCGCAAATGTCTGCTGATATATATACATACATATGTACTTACATATAGTGTCGTTCAAAATAATAGCAGCAAAATTCAAAATGATATTGCCGGCAACTTATCTTTATTTATTATTTTTAATAATTTCTATTTAAATTATTGGCCGATCTATATCAGATACCACATAAATAAAAGTTTCAAAGCTTATACAAGTTTCAAAAAAATTAATCAAACTTAAAAAAGTTGTCATCAAAATCTTAAACTTTTTAATCAGAAACTTTAGAAAATTTTCGGGTATGCAGTTTTGTAGCCCATTCAATTTTAGTGTGATAAAGTGCAAGTTTCAAGTCGCTACAAATTACCATTGATTTTTTGAAGGCTGTTGCGCATTTTCTTCCATATAAAAGTAAGTTTTGTTCATGCACTTCATTTTGAATTTTGCTGCTATTATTTTGAACGCCACTATATATTTATATATGTATGTATATTTACTGTTGTCTGCTTTCAAGGTATACTCTTTCAATTGTGTCCCTCTCTTGCCAGAAAATCGTTCTCCAGTGCTGGCTGCTCAGTCTTCACTTCATTGCGCTTCATTTAGATTTTTTTCAGCTGGAATGCCGCTTTTTGCGCACAAAACTTGCCTGACATGAGTTTGCTGGGAAATCATGCTTTTAATTAGCAAATCGTTAAATTAAAATGGTTTAAAGAATATCTTAACATTCGTCTCTCAACATCTTTTATATCTACCTAGCAGGTGAAATTCTCATTTTACGATAGCCGAGCAGCTGTTCTACTGCATTCCTAGCATACCATAGCGTCATATTGGTTCTATCTCTTTACCTTCAGTGATTCCAAATCTGGTATGTATATAGTAGTATGCAAATCCATACCTGGCTCAAAAGAATAAGCATTTTTTTCAGAAAAGTATCTCTTCGACTATCTATTCTCTTAAAAACTACACACCCCCCGACTTCTTTGCTTGATTTTTCATTAGTTCCTTTCTTTTTGACGTGCTGTTTAATTCTCATTTTTCACCCTCTGTTTTCCTCTCCTGTTGTACCTACAAATATATGTATATGTATGACCTAGTCATCTACGTTGTTGGCTATTTGCCCCATTTAACAAAAGAAGGAAAATCAAGTTGACTAGACCCACCCTGGCAGGGGCAGAAATTGAGTTCTGAGAAGAGCCGAAGAAGGGGTAACTCTGGACAAAAGGCTCAATTGGATATCACATCCCTCGAATGTTACCAACAAGGCCTGTCAGACACTTCATGGTAGGACTTGGAGAATATCACCCAAACTAACGTCCTTCAATATTGGTCCTTCAATACGGTAGTAAAATCCATTGTTACATATGCGGCATTAGCCTTGTGACCAAAAGCTAAGCAGGTAAACGCGGGTACCTCCTTGAGCAAGCTGCACTGACTGGTCTGCGTGGTCACGACAGAAGCTATGCGCACTTGTCCAACGGATGCCCTTGGTGTCATTACAGGCATTCCTACTTTGTCTATTCCGATTGATTCCGATTGAAAAAGAGTAAGAGTAAGAGCCTGCTTGAGCACTCTACGGCTGTCCAATACGATCAGCAAGAAAAGTGGAGATCTGCGGGGTGATTTGGAGGTACTCAAGCCATTTCTGGATAATCAAGCTTACGAACATCATGCTACCGAAGTTATCCTTCTACAAACCCTACATGGTCAGAATTCCTGGAAGTATGATATACCGACGGATCGAAGATGGACGACGGGAATACGGATCAGGCGTACTTGGACCAAGATCCCAGAAAAGTCTGGGCACTTATCCAACCATATTCCAGAATGACAATTCAATGACAAATGGGGCCAACATAAGTATTAAATATTTTTGGTACTTGGCAGCGTTAAAGGTCTTGAGAGTCTTTTTTAAAACGGCATTAAGGCTTGTGGACAGCTGTAAAACTATTTTTTTTTTAACCATCTGGGAGCCCACAATGGCTTAACGGTGTGGTGAGTTCTGGGACATGAAGCGTTTGAAGACGAAGAAAGGGCTGATTATATCGTAAAGCGTGAAGCCCAAACGCGCTTTCATGGTACCAAGCCTTTCTGAGGTACATCTAAAGAATACACTACACAACTGCTTAGGAGCTGTAGTATCTCAGATTGGTGCCCACTGGCGGAAGTCATAACTCCGAAAGACTCCTTGAATTTCGCCTTGAGGGTCACATAACTCTTACTGGCTACCTGAAAGAACACTGCAAGTTAAGGTACCATTTTGAATAAAATTGGGCTTCCTGTAGTGATGGACTGCAGGTTTTGTGGGCTGGTGGTAGAAAGCCCAAAGTAAATTATATGTGACTGCCCATATATCATGAATGACAGACTGATACACCTTGGGGAAAGGTTGTCTTTTCCATCCAAAATTTGGGACATGGCACCCTCTAATTAAATTACGCTTCATTGTTTCCAACCTTACCTATTTTTCCATCTTGCAAACTAAGTAAACATTTAGGTTTCAAGTCAAAATAAGGTTAAGTTGAATACTTCACGTTTACTTTGTAAACATAGCATTCTCCACCAAAACGGCATTTTACAGAAAAGGGGTGTTTCTTAACTTGTTCTTGGACCTGATTAACTATCTAGAGTTAGATAGATTTGATAAAGGATGTGCACTGCGCTCTTGGGCCGATTCCGTGCTCAGAGCTTATCATAACCCCTCGTTCAGACCTATTACTCTAGTGAAACCAAGCAGTTTTGAGGACTGTAGCGAGTGAATTTGCGTAACGTCTGGCCACAAACCTACCAGATGTGTTGGTTATGAGGTCATACGAGTATTGGGAGGGAGTAAGAACACAAAAATAGTTTTAAAGCGCAACGAAGCACGCCGGGTATTTGCTACTTACTACTATATCGTCACCCTTATGCCAGGAGCATGAATGTGCAAATTTATCAGTTTTGAGTTATTGGGTTGACTTGATTAACCTTTGGATGTTCTATGTTAAGCTAAAACCCAGAATACCATGCGTACACGGAAACCACATATTTTACAATTTCAATTGCATAAATGTGGAGTTAAGTCACGTACATAAAATCTTTCAAACTTGATTTCCCAAAATTTTCATTTTCACACATTCATGTTTCTGGAATACGGGCGACGATATCAATTTTTTTATTGCAACCAGCGTATAAACTCTGGAAACTAACTAGTGCGCTATCTAATTTTATTTCTGTTTGCACCGCCTGACGTCGAAACCATAAATTAAGCTTGTTAAATTCGTGACGTCTTGTTTGAAGATGAAGTCAACAGGTGTTAGTTTATGCTCGTTGGGCAATTGAAAATTGCAGCCCTCTCTCGGCAAACAAAAATTACGCTCTGCAAATCTCTCATCATGCCCGTTCTTAAAAATGTATATGACGCGGAAACGTGAATGATGTCGGCCAAAGATAAGATGGCTTTGGAAGCTTTTGAGAGAACAATTCGACATCTAAGGTTATGGCCCCCTTTTCGTGTGAGCGATGTATACCGAAGAAATTGGAATGACGAACAGTGAGGGTTTTATAATGGCATGGACATATATGAAAACGCCTCGTTGAAAATATCCTTCGATTAGGCATCTATGCGGGAACAACGAAAGCAAGAGGGCTCCAAAATAAAATGGAAAATGCAGGGGAAGAAGAGCCTATCTGCAATTGGGTTGAATAACTGGCATAGCTTCGGAAAGGTAAATGTAATTTGCTAATATTTTTCGTATCCTTCTTAAACGATAGTCAGTTGTATGGCCAAATGAGAGGAAAAAAATTTTAGTTTTTAAAAATGATTGTTGAAAGCTTCAGCAAAAGATATCTACTTACAATAAAGATGTCTTGAAGTATAGGCAACCCTGATAAAATATTAATTAATATTATTATTATTGTATTACATTTGTGTTTGTACATATCGTCAGCTGAAATGCAAAAAGACGTAACAAACATTGTCGCTGAAATACAAAAAGTAACTAAATAATAAAAAATTCTAAATTCAGTTTTTGATTGATATGATGGATTTCATCGAATTACAACTCCCAAATCATTTTATGAAAAACTTAAAAAAGAAATATTAGTCACGACTTTTTCCATTTCAGTTACGATGTTGATAAGTCTTTTTGCATTTCAGGTGACGATATATACATATGTATGTTTTTCTGAAAGTTAAAAGTCATAGCGTACATCAAAACCAGCTATAAAAACCAAGCAACAACAACTTAGTTGTCATTTAAGTGTACATACATATGTCATAGACTTTAGCCGCAACTTTTTTAGAGGTGGAATGGCAAACAAATTTGAAAACTAGCGGCAATGACTAAACATTATTTGCATAACAAACATCCATAATAGCACGGAAGCCCTAATGGGTAGCGCAAATACAAGCTAGATAGTTCGCGTTGTCATATGTACATATGTATGTATATATGTATATATGATTGTATTCGAGTCATTCTTTCTATATAACATCCTACTTCCTACTAATGTAAATGTGAAAGTTCGGATGTATGAGGGCAATTTGAAAAGTCAGTCACTTTTTGCATTTCGCGCCATCCATTAACAGGCTAGTGAAAAATTTTGAGCAAGCTGCGTCATTTGGTTGTGTTTGACAACCATTAAAATCAGACAACCTCGTGAATTTTAACGAAAACGGAAAAAGTGATTTTCGTGCGCTGATTAAGCATATTTTTTTCGCGTTAAAAATCCACTACCGAAACCGAGATAAGGCTTGATAAATATTATAGGGGCTCTGCACCATAAATTTGAATGGTTAAAAAGTGGTTTGCTAAGTTCCGTTATGGTCGTGCCAGCACAAGTGACTCCGAACCTTCAGGTCACCCAAAAAGAAATCGCCACGCCAGAAATCGTCGATAAAATCCATGGAATGATATTGTACGAAGAAGGAAGAATGATAGCGTGTGAGGTGGCTGAGGCTATAGGCATCTCAACTGAGTAGGTACATCACATTTTACATGAATATTTGGATATGAAGAAGTTATACGCGCCATGGGTGCGGCGCATACTCACTCACAACCATAAACGCAACCGTGTGACCACTTAAACGATCACTGGCGAATATTAATCACAGATTTTGAACACATTTGGCCAAGAAAAAGTGTTGTTCCATCAAGACACTAAAGAAAAAAAATGCCTCAATTAGGCTACGAACTCCTTCCCCATCGACCATATTCAACATATTTGCCCCCCAGCGACTATTTCCTGTTCCTCTAATGGCTAGGCGATGAGAGATTTGGGTTGAATGAAGAGGTCATCACTGAAACAAAGGAAAGTGAGGACCAACAAAAACCTATTATTTAGAGGGAATAAAAAATTGGAAAAACCTGGACTACACGTAGTGTATCGATCCAAAAATATATATTTTATTCAAAAAGTCACTGACTTTTCAAATTGCCCGCGTATGTTTGTTATGCTTTCAAGCGAAAGCTACTGGACGAAAATGAGCTTATTAAGCAAGTTTTTCCAAATTTGCAACGAAATCATCAACAAAGAAATCTTAGACGAAAAAGTAGGTGAAACATCAGTCTGCTTTGTGCTCTTCATCAGAAGGAGAAGGTCGGATGATCTCAGGAGGCATCGAGGGGCTGCAGGTGGGCAAAACTAATGTTGCCAGACAACTTGTTGGACTGCTGACTGGTCACGTGGCACAAACACCTGACTGTGATAAGCGTACATGACAACTCCATTTGCCCATCCTGCCTGGAATAGGATGAGACGGTGGAACACTTTTTGTGCTTCTGTGCCGCCTTTGCAAAAATTAGGTATGAAGCATTTGGCCGCATTGTGTTGAGAAACGAACACCCTTTGATACTCAACAATCGTGCAGATTTAAAACATTTTAAAAAGGATTTGTGCTATTTTTTGCACTGGTTCCGACTTAAAAAAAAATCATATGACAATTTCCAAGGAATTCTTTTAGTGAAGACAATTTGATTTAAATTATTTTGTTTTTTTTTTTATTTAATTCATGGTATTCTGAAAATAGAAAAATGTAAACATATTTTACATTTTGAGTAGTATAAAAAATAACAATAAAATTTAACAAACTGCATATTGGGAATTCTATACATTCAATTATATGTATAACTATACCTAGACAAAAAACAAAATTAAAAATTTTTTCTACGTACATACAAATATATGCACGTCTAATCATGAGCCAATATTTCTTCACGTAGTTTGCTTAAAAAGACCATATAAAATTATGGAATCAATAATTTCTTTGCTTTCCATTTAAAAATATTCCAAAATAAAATTTATTAGCAATGATAAAGATATGTATTTGATATTTATTATTTTTTCAAATGTTTTGTGAGTAAAAACGTTGTGTGTGCAATAAAAATGTGTGCGAAAATGAGAGTATGAATGTGTAAAATTGCTTTCTGCTTGTAATAAAGTACCAAAAAAAAAAAACCAAACACCTATGTAAATAAATTTTTACATTTTACATTTAGAATCTAAGTTAATAATTGGCCATTACTAAAACTAAAACTACAATAATCTCTTTCCACACTATCTATGTACTCGCTTACAACTATTAAGGAACTATCTAAAATTTAAAGCTAATCACGTTGAACTCGTAGCCGATTGCATTGAACTGCGATCGGTGGAGCTCGTACTCGCGCCCGTACTCAATTCCGACAGCGTAGTATCGGCCCGCTCCAGAATTTTGGACGTATCTTGCACTGCTGCCACCAGCAGTGGTGAGACTTCCGGCTGCAACGAAATGGTTTTGCCCACCACCCGATGTGGTGTGCCATTATCTAAATTATTGATTTTTATTTGTTGTATCAGGCGATTCTGCAAATGCCGTTTAATCGGATACCAAGCCAACAATGCCACGCCCACTAATGCGCAAATGCCACCAAAGACTTGACTCAAGAGGATGAGTCGCGGCAACAATTGGAAATCTTTAGCCAACTCTGATGAAATGCGTGTCTTTGCTTCGAACCAAAAGAGCGGAAAGAAGACGCGACGTTTGTTGCGGAACATGCTGTGTGCGAGTATGTGGCGAAATTCGAGAGCATTATTTAAAAAAATAAAGTTTTATGAAAAAGTTGTGACGCTTACCTAAAATCCGATATGGGTTCGACTAGAATATTGGATTGCAGACGCGCTGTCATCTCCAACATTAACCCCGTTCTCGGCTCCAACACCAAATAGAGTTCATGCTTCTCTTTCTCAGGTTTCAAACCATCCACTTCGGCGAGATAATAAGGATCCGCTTCATGAAAGTGTGGATACGAAAGAAATATCGGCGAGCCATACCAGCAGGATGAGATGTTCATTAAACCCGATGGCACGCATTGTCCATTGCAATGGCAAACATTTTCGGGATATAAGGTGCCTGAAATTAAAGGAAATATTAATATTAGATATTAAAGTGGGATGATTATATATATACATTTAAATAGCCAATAAGAACTAAAAATTAAAAGAAGATTGAATGAAGGAAAGATAATTAAATTAAAAACCAAAAAAAGGTCAAAGTAAGTTTGTATTAATTAAATGAAATGAAAAAAAGGTTTTTTTTATACAAATTAAAAGATAATTAAATTGAAAATAAAATAAACAAATTAAAAAAATTTGTCTAAAAATTTTAATAATGTAAGAAAAAAAATATTTTTTTTAACAATAAAAACTATAAATTAAAAGTAAAAAAATACTAAAGTAATGTTCTATTAATCAAACGAAATCAAAATAAAATATTTTTCTTTTTAAAACAATAAAATCCAAGAAAATTAAATTAAGCAAAAAATATTTAAAGAAGAAAAAAATAAATAAATTTCACAACGGACGGCGACAAGTTCTTTCTTTATTCAATAATTTTTTTTTTCGTTTTAAACTTTAGATTTTTTTTTGTTTTCAAAAGAAAAAAACCATATTTTTTTATTTAATTTCCTTCTTTCTAATCTTTTCCTTTTTTAATTCATTTATTTTTCTTAATTATTTAAATTTTCTTGTAATTTTTTGATGTTATTATTTTAAAAAGAAGAATCTATTTTTAATTAAATAAGGAACACATTTTTTCATTTTTCATGTAAATTTCACAAACCTATTTTATTTAGCTTTTCTTTTTTCTGTTTAGTTTGGTTTTCTTTTGTTAATTTCATTTTATTTTAATTTTAGCATTTTATTGTTTGAAATATGAAAAAAAAAATATTTTTTCAATTAATTTAATTTCCTCTAATTAAGTTTTTGGATTTTATAGTTTAAAAAAGGAAAAAATATACTTTTTTAATTTAATTTAATTTCTTTTCTTTTAGTTTTGCTTTATTATCAATTAATTTTTATTTTATTTTTTCAATTTATTTTCCTTTTATTTAAGTTTTTATTAAAAAAAAATATATATATATGTTTTTTTTAATTTAATTTCAGTTAGTCTTTCCAAAAACAGTACAGAGCTTTCAAGATAGTTGCCAGAATTGACAGTTGTCTTACGAAAGACTTTTGTCTTGTTGCTGAAAGGCAGTTGCCAGATTCGCCCTGTAAGTCCTTCAAACTATCTTGCCTATCGTCTTTCAATTGTCTTACAAAATACTTTCAGATTAAAAAGTAATTTCAATTTTTAACCGACTTCCAAAAAAGGAGGTTCGTCGGAATATTTTATTTTTATTTTTTATTTTTTTATGTATGTTACCGCTAACTGATTTCGATGATTCTTTTTGCATCGGAGAGGTAGTTTCTCAGAGGTGGTCCCATACTAATCTGGTTTAGATCCGAGCATTATCATGAAATATATATATATATATATATATATATATATACATTTTTTTAAGCCGGTTTTTTTTTTCAAAAATTACTTGTCTTACTGATTATGCGCCTTTCAAATAGAAGTTGAGATTTTTTAACATTTTTTAACTGTATGTTTGACTATGTAGTCTATAGTCATTACTTTTCTATAATACATTCATACATTCAAAATCTTTTCAAGCAATTAACATGTTCCCGTATCCAAATCACATATAGACCATTTCACTTTACTCACCATTGTCTACCATCCGCTTGCCGCCCTCATAGCGAAATCCTTTCACACCCTCCACCACCTCGGGCTGCACATAATCCATTGCAACCGTTCGACAGACATCCGACAAAAAGAAATTTACTGGCTTTTCTGGTTGTAAGTAGAGTGACTGAAATTCGCCTGGCGAGCCATAGACTTTACCACATTCAGGCGCATACTCCCGTGTCGTTTCACGATAGTTCCACGTATGGATTTGTCCAAATTTTCGTATATCATCAGCGCCGGTGTAAATGTTGTAAGTGCCAGTAACATCAGCACTTAGATTGCGCTGAAGAGTAGTTAAAATTTGGAAAATTTTTAAATTAGTTTGCATTAGGTTTTTTGGCTGACCCTTAAAAGCGACCTACCGGATAACAATAGCCAAATTTATCGAATGGCACCTTCACATCTATCAACGATGAAGGCAGATAGTTGGCCACATTCAAAAGTACATCCTCATAGCCACCAAAGAGCAACTCATCCACTGATTTCTTGATTGTTATGTCATCGTGGTAAACCTTCAAAGCAATATCGATTACACGGCGACGCAAAGAGCTCCAGCGCTTGGCTTTAGAGGACAGAGACTGGAATATTAATGAGAAAAAATTGTATTACATACCCAAATGGACTAATTAGCGTGTAAATATAAAATGAATAGGGTTTGAGTGTGCTTTTTGTGGATATGGTTATCACCTATCAAGATATGGATATGAATTAAATTAAATAAATTAACAAAATTATACAAATTTGACGCCAAACGAACGAGACTTAACAACACTTTATTTCGAAAACATGTTTTATAAGGGTTGCCACCTGTTTAAAAATTCGATTTCATTTAATTTATAAGCTAAAAAGGATTTATTTGGAAAACATGCTTGCCACCTGTTTGAAAAGTTAAATTCACTTTAATCAATAAGTTAAATGAAATACTTATAGCTATTTGAATGTCTTAAGAATGTGATTTGGAAAAGCCTTATTTAAAAAACGTGTTTGATAAGGGCTGCCACCTGTTTGAAAATCTAAATTTCATTTAAATTATAACTTTAACTAAATCTTACAATTTTTATCGCAAACGAACGTGATTTAGAGAAGCTTTATTTCGAAAATATGCGTGAAAAGTGCTGCCAGCTGTTTAAAAGTGAAATTAAATGTAATCAATAAGTTAAATGAAATACATATAACGATTTCGTATAACATAATGAGATTTATAAATGGCTCTTTTCGAAAACCATTTTAAAAAGGGTTGCCACCTGTTTAAGTATTTAAACTAAGTTTGGACTAAAAGATCAACGAAATTTTACAACTTTGATGTCAAACGAACAAGATTTAAAAAAATATTTATATATACTCATTTTTAAAGGGGGCGGTCACCTGTTTAAAAGTCGAATTCAATTTAGTAAGTTTAATGAAATATGTATTAATATATGAGGGCCAAGAAAGAAGCTTAAGAAAGCTTTATTGCGAATGTAGTTTTGAATGTAGAAAGTACTTATTTTCCAAAAATTTTACTTTGGGATGTCCCGGTTATGCGACCTGAGTTAAAAATTAAGCCTTACTAAAAAAAATATTCTAGGGTTGCCAGCTAAAAAAAATCGCTGAAATTGTTAAACTTTTAGGAGCTGGGCAACGTACGCAGGATTTCGTCTGCTGTTTTATAGAAATGGCTGCACCCTCCAGTACACTGAAAAAAAAACTGTTGCTTTCTTATTTACTACACCGTGCGACAGTAATTTTTACACACAAAAAATTTTGTATATTCGCGAAAGTCAGAGTATTGGAGTATGCGATAAACTTTTCTGGTAGGGAAGTTTTTTTATCTACACATTTTACTTACCACTGCTAGCGAATTAACGGTAACAATTTCATCGTCCAATCGGCCTTTGCTACCCTCGGCATCAAAATAGTATTTGCTTTGCTTCTTATAGGTCATTGAAGCATTATCGGTATGCCATTTAATATCAACCTTATTTGGCACTTCCGTAAACCGATATGGACCCAATTCTTCGAATTTAGGTTTTATGTCGAGATTTTGAAAATCTTCCGGATTGGTCCAATTAAATATGTAAAAGTTTAATGTCAACTTCAATGGCGGCGTTCTCCAAAGGTCGAAAATTTTCGAATTAGGGCGTAGAATCATCTCCTGCAAAATAAAATGGTTAAAAAAAAAAATTAGAAAAAACTAATTACTAGTAAATTATAGCCTTAGGTTAGGGTTATGGAAAAGTTTATTTTCGAAACAGAGGCGAAATCCGAATAGCAAAACTTGAAAGGTTTGTGCAAGTTTCTCCGATTCCGAATTACAGAGTTATTAATGGAATGCGAATTTGAATGAACAGAATTTAAATTTCTTCAATTCTCACCTGTTCCATTACTTGGTTGAAAATTGCCTCACTAAATAATCCATGTAGAAGACCCAGTAAAATTAGGCAACTGCCAACAATATTGAAAATGTAGCGGCGAATCTTTCCCGGCAGCATTGCTACGGCAAACTTCGCCGAAACTGTAATAGAAAAAGAAATAAATTAAAATAACCGTATAATCAAATTGTGGTGATCAAAATATAGAAGAAAATAAATTTGAGAGTTGCCACCTCTTTGAAAAATGCAGTTTAATTAAATTGTTAAGGTAAAGTAAATATTGCTATATGGCTGTCAAACGAATGACTTTTAAGAAGGTTATGAGCCGGATAAATTTTTGTGGAAGGTTGCCACCTGTTTAAAATTTTTGTATTTGATTTAATTGATAAGATAAATTAAACATTGCAATATGTGTTTCAAACTAAAGAGGTTTAGGAAAGTTTACTGCCAAAAATATTTTTTAGGAGTGTAGCCACCTATTTGAAAAATTTGAGTCATTCATTAAATTGATAAAATAAGTGAAATATTACAATAGAAGTATCAAGCTAAAGAGGTATAACCCTTTTCGTGTTGAAACAATTTTACGGTAAGCTAAATATTTAAAGTTTTGTATAGCAGAAAAAGTCAACCCCCTGAAGATGAGAAAAATATTTTTTTTTTTTGGAAAGTTTATCGTTCAAAAGCTATCGCTTGCCGTATATATTTGACAGTGCACCTTAAATTTGAAAAGAAAAAAATAAAAATGTTAAAACCACATAGTCTAAGATCCGACAAGGGCACGACCTTCAAACCCACTCGCTAAATATTTATTAACACGTTAAATCTCATACCAAATAGATTTCATCGATAAACAGATGGGTGAAGGTCGTGCCCTTGTCGAATCTTAAGTTATAGAAAATATAGAAAATTTGGATTTTGATCAGGTATAACGCCGCGTATTTTTATAACTGGTCAAAATACAAATATTGTAAATTTTTCGCGATAAAATTTTTTTTTTATTCTTTTTAAATTGCAAAAATCTATCAGGCATGTTCTGAAATTCGAAAATTTTAAATTGACTTGATTTCGATAATTTTTTCGATGGTTTTTAACCCAAAAATTTACAAGTCTCGCATTTAAATGATTTATTTCATATCGCTGCTGCTTTTTTTGCATTTTTCATTAGAATATTCACTCTTTCCATCAAATGTAATTAAAAAAATATTTGGCAAATCGAGTCGATTTCAAAGATTCGAATTTCAGAACATGCCTGAATATATTTTTTTTTCATCGAAAATTTTTCTTTTTTTAACTGAAAATCCGAGAAAATTTGGACTTTGACGGGCTATAACTCAGCGTATTAAAACATATTCACATAAATTCATAAACTAACTGACATATAGCTGGCCAAAATCAAAATTTTTTCATTTTGTTCGCGATAAAAAAACTTTGTTTAAATTTAAAAATTTCCGTAGAAGTCTTTATATTGTACGTAGAACATAATATAGGATGCCCCATGCCGAAATTTTAAGGACCATCTACGTAGGATGTATATCAGCTGATTCTAAAATTGTTAGAGGCTCTAACAAGAATATATGTATATATTTTTGGCTGCAACTATTTCTCGGATGGAGCTCTTGACTTGACTTCACATCTATAGACCAAGCGTGACCCTCTGAAAATACCGGGAAATAAATTTTTTACTACTCACAATGCGCTTATATGTACATCAGTCAATAAAGTTTAGGTACAGCGAATTGTTTACAATACCGGCATCTATTTTTTAAATATTTTATTTTTCGCTAATTTTTTATAAAAATATGGTTAACTCTACAACAAAAAGCCCAAAAATCAGAGTTCCAAGCCTTATGCAAAAGTAAAGAAAATTCTGCAAATTTTTATTCAAATATTGCACTTTTTATTTAAACTCTTTAGAAAAAAATTGAGCACGCAGTTTTTAATTTTAGTATAACAAAGTGCAAGTTTGAGCTAGCTAGGATTTACCATTGATTTTTAGCAATTTTTTTTTTTGTTGAAGGTGCCGCGCACTTTCTCCATATAAAAATAATGTTCGATAATTTTTTTTTATATGGAAAAAATGTGCGACACCTTACACAAACAAATTTTCCAAAAATCAATAGTAGGTCCTAGCTTCCTCATCCTTCACCTTATTATACTATTGAATGGGCCAAAAACTGCATACTCAACTTTTTTCTAAAGAGCGTAAATAAAAAGTGCAATATTTGAATGAAATTTTACAGAATTTCCTTTAATTTTGCACAGGGTTTGGAACTCTGATTTTTGAGGGTTTTGTTGTAGAACTAACCGTATTTTATAAAAAATTAGCGAAAAATAAAATATTTTAAAAAAAGTTGCCCGTACTGTAAAAAATTCGCATTACCTAAACTTTATTGACTGACTGTGTAAACAAAATTTCATGAAAATCAGACCAGCTGTTACAAAAAAAATGGACTTCTCTTTATATAATTAGTATAGATTATGTGTATGCTTGTACGCAGAACCATCAAACACCCGGAATTCACTTACTTTGACGTGTGTGAATTTATTAAAAATATTTTTTATTTGTAATTTTTTTTTTCTTATGTATTTTCCGTAAGTTGTGTAATTGTGTATTTTTCATTATGTCTGTAGCTCATTAATAACAGAACTTCTAATCAGATATGTCAAATACGTTTTGACGCTTTAGGTCAAGTGTCACGTCAAACAAATTTCTTATAATTTCTATATATGAATTTTGTTACCAAGACACGATACGTCAGTAATCGTATAATGGCGCTGTTGAAATCAACCATAGGGGAAATTAACATAACGCTGATTTGCTGGAATTGCGTCATAGTACGTAAGAATTTTTTAATAAAGTTTGAAAATATTTCATATTTTTGCGTTTTTGTATTATTTTTAATGAAAAATAAAAATAATTACCTAGATCGGATAAAGTTTGCACAGACTCTTCGCTTCAAAAAAATTTATGTTATGTAAAATATTTGCAATTCAGCACCAATTCAGCAATTCAGGTTTCGTTCAACGTTTGCTGAAGGACGCTTGTCGGTCCAAGACTGGACCATAGTTGGTCAGTGGCTCTCAAACCCGCACTTTATCCGGTGATATCGTTTCGCACACAAGAGGTCAATCACTACCTGATCAATTTCGAGCGCACCACCAGAGAGTGCGGAGCACTGATTGATGCTTAATTACCTCGTTTAGGTCAGATAGTGACTCCCAATATTTTGTTGGAATACTTTACACTTGACGTCACACCCTCGAGCAGTGTCTCTAGTGATTCCAGTATCCTAATTTTTCGGTTGGTGCTCGCAAAAAAAAATAATTTTTAATGACAAAACTTTTCCGATACTTTTTTGAAATAAATAATTAAATATAACAAATAAAAACAAACCCCCTTGTAGGCCATTCAATTTCAGTATAAATAGTGCAGGTTTGAAGTAGCTAGGATATACCGTTGCTTCTTGGCAATTTTTTTTTGTTGAAGGTTTCGTTCATTTTTTTCCATGTAAACAAGTTCTCGAACCCATTTTGTGGACAAGAAAATGACTGACACCGTAGACAGAAAATATTGCCAAAATTCAACGCTACGTCCTGGATACTTCAAACTTGCACTTGTTATATAATAATTGCATAGCCTACAATGCTGCTTGTTTTTATTTATCATATTCTAGTGTTTATTAAAAAAAGTGGGAGACAAATTTTGCCACAACTATTTTCTTGTAACCGACAGCGAAGTTCTCTTATGGGACCCAAGAAAAAAAAAACATTTATTTTATTTTACCCAGTCTAATGTATTTACATATGCATATGAATATATATGTTTTAATTTAATTTAATTTTTAGAAACTTATTTATATAAATATTTTTTTAAATTCATTGAATTTTCAGAGACATATTTTTTCTCCTTTAATTCAGGTTTTCTTTTAATTAAATTTTGTTTTAATTTTTAGATTTTATTATTTTAAGAAAAATATTTTTTATTTTTTTAATTTCATTTAATTTTCGGGACTTAATTTTATGTTTTTTTTTAATATACTTAATTTCTTTTCATTTTTTTATGGAAATTTTTTCAACTTTACTTAAATTTTTAGTCTTTACTGTTTTAAAAATAAGCAATTTTTTTATCCATTTAGTTTTCGAAAGATCGAGAAAGCTCTCAAGGTAGTTGCCAGAATTGACAATTGTCTTACGAAATACTCCTACATACCCGCATAGTCAAAAAAAGCGCCCATACAAATTTATCCGCCCAAAAAAAAGATACGAAAAACAATGATGGTTAAACTGAATTCCCTAAATACAAAGTACTAACTAAGTACACAAATATGTTGGTATTTACGAACTTCTGAAGAAACATGAGGGGAATTCGCTCTTCTGTGTATTTGTTGTATGTTGTGTAACTGCATGGGCGGGTGATTTGTTGGTGCTTGCGGTACATCAAATACACATACAACAACAACCACACGCTCGACCACTTACACTTACGCAGGATACAGCGAATACACAGAAGCGCGAATTCCACTAGTCGCGAAAAGTCCCTTAAAAGAATAATTTGAAAACATCGAAAAGTCAGTAGTAAAGTACGAAGAATGCCGAAAAGCCTGAATAGAAAAGTAGTGCCGAAAAGTTCCAAAAATCTCAAGATAATCTCAAACACCCGAAAAGTTCAGAAAAAGACCGAAGAGTCTAAAATAAAGAACCGAAACTTTCTGAATAAATATGTAAAAGTCCCGAAAAAAGCCCTCAGTGATCTTAAAAAAACCCCGAGTAATAAAATACGAAGAATTCAGAAAAATAATGAATACAAAAGTAGTCCCGAAAAATGTCGTAATCTCAAGATAATCTTAAAACCCCTAAAAGTCTCAAAAACAATTACGAGAAATATAAGAAATACGAAGAATACTAAAAAATCCTGAAAAGTAATACACGAAGCGAGAAAGCATATGCTGCTAGCACTGTGTTTAATGGTTTATATAGAAAATAATTGTTATTGGTATGTAAGCCTTTTATAAAAGAAAATAAATAAATAAATACAAGAAGAATACCGAAAAGCTCTGCTAAAATTAAGAAATGTCCCAAGTAAATTCCCAAAGTTCTTAAATAATCCCGAATAATAAAGCGAAAAGACGCGCAAAAAAGTTCG